ATGCCCTTGCTCCTAGTAGTAAGGCCCTTGGCTACTAGTAGCTTCTTGCTCCCAGTAGCGTCCTTGTTCCTAGTAGTAAGGCCAGGAGCCCCTAGTAGCTTCTTGCTCCTAGTAGTAAGGCCCTTTGCTACCAGTAGCGAAAGGGTTTGTGCTGAGGTTTCACTCATTTGCTTGGGAACATTTTTTACTCATTTTGTTTCATCAGGGAAACAGACGAGACAGTATATATTCCCCACATTGACGTGTTTTCTATTTTTTTAGTGCTGTATCCGCTCTCCTCTCCTCTCCTCCTCCCGCCCTCCCGCCGTGCACCAACCAACCAACCACCAGCCACCAACCAACCAACCAACCAACCAACCAACCAACCAACCAACCAACCACCAACCACCAACCACCAACCACCAACCACCACCAACCACCAACCACCAACCACCAACCAACCACCACCACCACCAACCACCACCAACCACCAACCACCAATTGTCCGCTCTTGTGTTTGCTGAAGTTGTTAACATGTGGGGTTATCCGGTCCTATAATTTGAAGCTTCAATCAGGTGGAGTTGCAAGGGTGGTGAAAAAGTGGAAAGAGCCTCAATCTCTCTTTATTTGTGGTAGATCTACATAGTAATTTTCTTTTTGCAATCTTGCAGAACGAAGCATGCCCCGCAACGAGGCCGGCTACCGAGCTACTCCCTGAAGGGGAGGTATTCTATTTCAAAATGACGTTCAAAAAGTCTGAGCGTCCTTGCTCCTAGTAGCGATGCCAGGAGCCCCTAGTAGCGTCCTTGCTCCTAGTAGTATGGCCAGGAGCTACTAGTAGCGTCCTTGATTTACAAATGGTTCAACCATAACAACCTGTATGTTGTTGTACAATCTTGGTTGCGTCGAGATCTCTTCGTTTGCCACCCGCATCAAACAGTGTGCTGCAATTTAAGTAGGCAAATCTAAAGATGTATTGTCACTTGTGCAGTTTGAATTGACGTAGCCAAAAGCCTCTTTGGGCCTTACAGCTCAATGGATAAACCTGCAAGCTTGCAACATTCCAAGGATTTTACCACTGAATTAGTCAGCTGTATGGGCGGCTGTGGGGCACCGAAACTCACACCGCTCTCTACTAGTTCATGCTGTTCCCTCCTTGTCAACTATTTGACGGAGTTGAGCAACTTTCTTTTTCAGTTCTCTATAAAAAAAAGTCACGCATTCAACGACAGTCATCTTCCGGAAGAAGCGGTTTTGAGCCGGAGCTATGGAGCCAGAGAGCCAGCCTGACCAGCAAATCTTCGTGGATGACGATGGGAACATGTGGGGAGAAGATGAGTTGGGTCGGTACAGGAGCAGTTGGCCAATATATTTACGATTTCACAAACAGGAAAAAGAAATAAAAAAACAATGAACAACCTATAAGCTATGGCCTCCAACCTAATAGCGACGGCCTCCTAACTAAAACATTTTGAGTTCCGAAATGCTGATAGGTTTTTAAAATACCTGGCCTAACTGAGGCGTTCTCTCTTTTTCACCTAGCCTTATCGTCCCAGGATCGACAACCGAGTCTGGACCTGGAATGAGATCCAAGAGCATCCGCTCTTCATGAAAGACATTCCTTCGGATCCACGTGATATTGACAATTATCCGATGCTGAATCCAGGTTGCATTTTTTTTGGAAAACATGAAGATGTGGATGACTATTTTCACTTTACACTGGACACTCAAGAGAATGAAGGGATGGAGGCTCTGAGGACGCCTTTGTTCCTGATCGTCGATTCTGTGAATCCCAAGGTCTATTTAAATCTGCACGCAGAAATCTCCTCATTGAGACTTCCAACTACTGTATCACCATGTCACCATGTCATTCTCCGTTTGTATCACCATGTCACCGCTACCTGAGGACTGCTTTGCAGAGCGTTTTGTACGATGACCAGACACCTGAAGAGGTGGCTGAGAACTTTCGGAAGCAAGGTAACGAGGCCACAAGCGTCAGACTACCACGAAACTACGGAGGCGCTAGTAGGTTCGAGGCCATCGCTTACCGAGAAGAGCGCAAGACGTAAGACGTAGGAAAACGTAAGACGTAAGAGAGCGCCGAACGCGAGGCCATGAAGTTCCAGGCATCGAAGCTCCTTGGGAGCGGAAACAACCAGCGGGTGCACACTGTGTGAACTGTGACCCAGTGTGACGGGCATCGCTAGGAGCAAGGACGCTACTAGGGGCTCCTGGCCTTACTACTAGGAGCAAGGACGCTATTCTCCTATTCTTTTCTTACTGGATGTTGACTCTGTTCTGTCTGGTTTGCAACTCTGATACGCATGTGCCGCATGAGTCTAAAACGTACCAAGGATTGCTTTGATGAATGCCTTGACTTTCTACACGCGAGGTATTGAGATGGAATGCAAGGAAGCGTTGTCCGTTGTTCAACGTGTCTTTTTTGTCCGTACACAAGAGTGTTGACAAGCATCCCTTTCTTCACGATTTGCCCTTCACAGGACGCCAAGTTGAACTCTGTGCTGCATTCGAACAGGGCTGCAGTGGGGCTCAAGATGGGCGAATACTTGAAGGCTTCCAACCTATCGCTACTAGGTTGGAGGCCATCGTTATAATTCGAAGGCTTGGATTCTGGGCTTATTTTTGAAGATTCAGCCCAGCTCATTGCACAGGTGGTGGATGATTGCAGGCATGCAGTGCCTGAGATGCAGAGACAGTGTTCGATTTGGGACATTTGATACCTCTCGCCACAAACACTTGAAGCACAGAAGAAACACAGAAGAGACACTCACTTGAGTGCTTGTTGTGTTAAAATCTAGGAACCAAATCATTAGTGCGAGCGCTTCTCCAAGGAAGCTTTCTCCTTTTTTTCAGGCGGGGAGCTTCCTTGAAGAAGCTTGAGCTAAGGTTATACTGCGTCCAGTTACTAACGAGGAGCGAACGGAACGAACAACTCCCTCACTTAAGTAAGTCTTAGGAGAGCAGAGGGCCCCCCCATAGGCCAAAAAGCACATGTGTTTTTGTGTTTTTCGCCTTTTTGCAGAGCTGAGGTGCGACTAGACCCGTCGAATTTGAAGGCGTGGTTTCGGGGTGCTCAAGCCTCGGAGGCCATGGGCCTCGCGGAGCAAGGCCTGAAATTCTGCCAAGGCGCCCTGAAAATCGATCCCAAGGAGCGACTTCATGCTATCGCTACTAGGAGCAAGGACGCTACTAGGGGCTCCTGGCCTTACTACTAGGAACAAGAAGCTACTAGTAACAAAGGGCATCGCTACTAGGAGCAAGGACGCTACTAGGGGCTCCTGGCCTTACTACTAGGAACAAGAAGCTACTAGTAACAAAGGGCATCACTACTAGGAGCAAGGACGCTACTAGGGGCTCCTGGCCTTACTACTAGGAACAAGAAGCTACTAGTAACAAAGGGCATCGCTACTAGGAGCAAGGACGCTACTAGGGGCTCCTGGCCTGACTACAGGGAGCAAGAAGCTACTAGTAACAAAGGGCATCGCTACTAGGAGCAAATAGCTACTAGGAGCAAATAGCTATATACTAGTAACAAAGGGCATCGCTACTAGGAGCAAGTAGCCACTAGTAACAAAGGGCACCGCTACTAGAAGCAAATAGCTACTAGGAGCAAATAGCTATATACTAGTAACAAAGGGCATCGCTACTAGGAGCAAGTAGCCACTAGTAACAAAGGGCACCGCTACTAGGAGCAAATAGCTACTAGTAACAAAGGGCATCGCTACTAGGAGCAAGGACGCTACTAGGGGCTCCTGGCCTTACTACTAGGAGCAAGAAGCTGCTAGGGGCTCCTGGCATCACTACTAGTAGCCAGGAGCGTCTGTCGTCAAAAAAACAGAAAACAATAGGCTTCTTGCCGGGCAATACAATTCGAATACATGAATACACGATTCTTTTATTGGATTCATGATGTGTTTGTCTCTGCAAGTCTGCCACATGGAAGGAAGCATCGCTACTAGGAGCAAGGACGCTACTAGGGCTCCTGGCCTTACTACTAGGAGCAAGAAGCTACTAGGGGCTCCTGGCATCGCTACTAGGAGCAAGGACGCTTATTCTTTTCTTTATTCTCACAACCCCCCCTATGGAAGTGAACACGATCTTGGAGATCAACATCGACTGTCAACTGTGGAACCTGGTGTCCCGAAGCCCAGTAGGCAATGCCCCCAACAAGCCAAAAGTTAAATTGATGGATTTGTGTTGGGATGTGACGTCTCATAATGAAACAACTTGTTGGGTGTACCAGTCGTTCATTCTCTAGTCCGCATAGTTCATTAATTCAGAAGCAACTTGATTATCCGCGCAGTGTTCTCAATCGGTAGATTGATGCTCGTTGTCGCAGGAGCCCGAAGTTGTCAGGGTTCAGAAGCAGCTCCAGGAGCAGCGAAACACAGAATTTTTGACGGAGACACTGGAGACATCCCCTAACTCTACAACTCTATTATACCAAACAATTTGCCTTTGGCATCTCAGGTTTGACATGTGAGATGCTTCAAAATTAAAACGATCTGATTCGCCAAATCTTGCAGGTAAAGTTGGAAAGCCAGAAGGACGCCCAAGCCGAGATGCGAAAGGTCGATGCCCGGGAAAAGGATGAACGGAAGGCCAAGGCTTCCGCAGCGCCTTGGAAGGACCCGAGAAGCCATGGCCTCCAACCTACTAGCAATGGCCTCCAACCAAGTAAAGTCCTTTTAAACATAAAGATAAGGACAGTGCCAAAGTGTTGCATTCTTTTTAGAACTCAAACTTGACAAAGCACGGTTTGACACCATCAGCCCACTTCCCGGTCTCAGAAAAGTCTCCGTTTTGGGAGAGAAGTCATGCAAAAGAAAAGTCTTAGTTGCTAAGTCAAAGCAGTTCCTAAGGTTGAGAGTTTCTTGCAACTGCGCGGCTGCCGTTTGGGGCCGGTCCTCTTCGATATGTCCATGTGGCTAGTCAGAGGTAGAGCATTGTTGATCAGTGTTGCTTTTTACTTGGACTTGGCAAGATAACACCTTGCAAACGCCCGCACCAATAGCGGCATTCAAAAGAAGAAGAACACGGAACACGTGTTTGATGGAGGCGATGAAGGTTTGTTGACAGTCCAGAAGAGCTGGACACGTTGCATTAGAGCGAGCTCTCGACCAGAGCTTTGGCAAGGTATCGCATGGCCAATGGTGGCCTTACCCCGCATCCAATGTTGGTGGGGGAAGACCCTGACGCATGGCTGTTGAGGAAGATATTTCTTTGCGCAGCGTCTCTTCACAAGCGGAAAGTAAATTATTTAGGAGACCTTGAGATCATTCTTCTTTCTTTTTTTCTTGCTCTTTTCAGCGCCTCTTCACCAAACAGGAAATTTCATGGCTACAAGCAGAACATAGATTTAATTCCTATTGAGAGCGCAACTGGAGTCTTGACTTCATGCTTCTCCTGCACACTGCCCAAACCCGACCTGAAACCCTTGTTTATGCCTATATATAAACTTTATACTATATAGTTGAAAGCTGCAAAAGCGATGACACATGTTGAACACGGCCTCGGCAAAGCAAGATCACTAGCTCGAGACAGTTTCACGATCTCAGGACATGACTGTCGAGTGGCCGATGCTGCTTCTTTACGACGAAGTCAATCAATCAGATTTTGTCGCTGCATTCGATGAACGATATGCCTTGGAGGACCAACAAGCGCATCGCTACTAGTAGCAAGGTGCATCGCTACTAGTAGCTGGAAGCTACTAGGTTGGAGGCCATCGCTAGTAGGTTGGAGGCCATCGCTAGTAGGTTGGAGGCCATCCCTATAAGTAGGTTGGAGGCCATTACTACTAGTAGCTAGAAGCTACTAGTAACAAGTGGAGGACCAGAACAAGAGCTTTGAGCCTTTGAGCGACAGGCTACTCGTTTCAGACTAATAGCGATGGCCTCCAACCTAATAGCAGAAGGAACCTAATAGGAATGGCCTCCAACCTTATTCAGCAAATCAAATATCTAAATTTGAGGATTGGACCCACCAAGTTTGCAAAAGCTTGTCGCAATTCAAGGATCAGCTCCAAATGATGTTCCCTGAAGACCGCCATGTGGTTGGGGCCTATGTTCTATGTTTAGTCCGATTTTTGACTCAGCTGAGGAGTTGCTGTAAGGTAGGATAGACCGTCATTTGGCATGCGACTCTGTTTTAAGGAGTGGGATGAACAAGGCAAGTATGCGCTTGACCTCAGCCGCTGCTTCATATTGGATTGTTTTTTGAACAGAACCTGTTGCTTAGGTATGGTCGCGTCTAGCTGCTTACCTGGAGCTACTTGGCCAGTTCCAGTCCTTGCAGAGCTAAAGGTGATTCAAGTGAGCGATTTGCTTCAAAGACGATGGACAAAGTGATGACTGAAAGCCCACTGTGTTTGCAGTTTCAAAGCATAATTTGCCTGTGTCGATCGCTTTGATGACTCTAGCAATTGAAAGTGGATTTCTAAGGTTTTACCCGGAGGGCAGCGACACTACTTCAATGTTCAGGGTGCCCTGTTTAACATCAGTGGTTTTTGTCGAAAGAAACATCAACGAGGCACTGCGGCTAGGCTTTTACCAACAAGATCACTTTTGACATGTGCTGTCTTGATCTGTCTTGGACGTATGTGCTTTCTTTCGACGTAAATGCTCTCACATGCTCTCACTACGAAGAATGTGCTCAAAAGCAAGGTGGAAAATACAGTTCCAGTGGTGGAGGCCCACGACCCAGACATTCTTAGCGGAGATTACAGGAGAGCCGAAGAGAAGGATCG